AGTCGCATGAAGGGTGCGCTGCATCCTGCTAAGGGTTTTCGGCATCTTGTGCTTACTTCCTTGCGTACGGATGACAGCTGCGTTTATGACTTAATTTATTTTCTGGTGCGTTCACTTCCGGAGACAGTTGCAAGCACTGCTGTGTAACTGCCTCAAGGGTGCTTGACCAATTTAACACAACGTGGTGCGATCATGCCCCTTGCGCGGAGCGAGGCTTCTCCACCCCGCACAACATGATCTACTCGACCACCATTATGGTTACCGCCGAAAAAAACAAGAGGTAAAGAAAAAAACGGTAACCAGGTTGCCGAGTTCACCAAGTGAATTGGCTTGTTTTACAACGTCGTTGCCAAGCGACGAAAACCCAATCCCGATGGCAAACACCGAGGGGGGGGGTGATACGTGGCGGCGTTTTATCAATACCCTATGACGAACCGTGAACGTCACCTCACAAGGCTCACACCTGTAATAAATAAACACTACTCCAAATCGTTCGGCTCTCCCTCACAGAACCCACACCACTCCTGTCCCCCGCAAGCAACGACAGCAACACGCACACAGCTGCTGCCACAGCGTCAGTCTCGGCTGTAATGTTCCATTTTTCCTGGAAGCAATTGAGCGTGTTTTTCTCACCTGCTCCCCACCCCGCTCCTCCAGTACTCGATCTTCGACCAGACTTCGTTGTTGGTGTGGCGGAAGCCTGTGAACAACGGTCGCATTTCATCGGCCGCGTATGGCGTCGGTAGCAAGGGCCCAGGGAGGGGGGGGGTCAGCCTTGAGTGCACGTCACACTCACGATGCGCACAAATCTCAAGAGTGCACAGCTAGTGGTGAGCAAAACTACCAAGGGTGTATGTCCGTGCATGTATGTAGTCGACAATCAATCCAATCATTGCTCGTGGGTCCAACGACCCGTGCGGAAACCGCCGAATCGGGGCATGGGCATCTTGTGTCCTGCAGGCTTCGGCCGAATGTAAAGCGCCCGGAGTAAGAAAGGGTTTGCATCGTTTCGAACGAGTGAACGCGGTAGTACCAAACGTGTCTTGGCCAAACGCGTACACAGGTACACCCTCCTTTGGCGATTGTTGGCAAATCGACGAGTCCTGCGTCTGACGACGACCAAACAAGAAGGGCACTATAGGGCGGCGGAAGGCCACTACAAAAGGGCAGATAAAACGTCGGGCAAGCTTAATCTTTTCATGTGTATCGCCAGTAATTACGCCGCGTGGAGGCCTGCGGCATGACCAACTGCCCCTGAACCAAACCCAACAAACAAAACGAAGCGACTTAGGCCTCAAAAGGCTCCTCTCGTCCCACAATCACGGGTTATTTCTTGGGGAAACGACACAACAGGGTATACCCTGGTCGAAAAGCGACACACCTGGGTACAGTCATTAACAGCAGTAAATGCACTCATATCATTGGTCAGCGCCCAAGTTCACCCCGGTGCGTCCGAAAAGGCGCAGAATGCACCCTGCCGTGACTATTTTTCTCAACAACTGTACCCTGTTTTCGGAAATGTACCCTGACCTGTCGGGAACAGAGACCCTTTCATCAATAATTTCCCCCGCAGGGATCTTCCCAACTCCTTTTCCCCTCCAATCATGGGATACCAAACAGCGAATCTTCCCGCCCAATAAACCCCATGGCAAAGGGACAGGATTCAGTTTCCGCCCCTGCGAAACAACACCAACCATCAACTCTTCCGCTCTAGATAGACTAAGTCAACAATGGCCGGGCAATACGTACCCCAGCACAATACACTCACACACGCGTACGATACCCCGTGAACGACTGCTTGCTGCAGTCTATGCGAGACGCACGGGTCACGCTGTGAAAGCGAGACCGATCCAGCATGGTTCACATGCATAGCATGTGCCAATGTGTGGCGCTGTGCTGGCGGCGAGCTCGCGCCCGCACAGAGGATGGAGGGGAGAGGCAGGACCAGCACACACAAGACACGCCCTTGACATCAATCACGCAAACACACGTCCTATCCTTACTCTAGCAGCAGGACACTGCTGCTTCTTGCATCTCAATCACCCTCCCTGTCGGTAGGGAGAAGCAAGAGCGCTCGCGTTGTACTTCATCGGCTCATCCCGCTGAAGCCTGACGTCTTCTTACTACATGGATTGATTTGATTGGTCGGCTTGGCCGGCTGGTAAGCGCGACCGCTGCTGCTACAGCAGTAGTTCAAGCAAGAAACACATCGCGATTGAGACACAACAGACAACGCACGCACGCACACACGGCACATCGCGATTGAGACACAACAGACAACACACGCACGCACACATGCACATTCATGTCAACCATGCTGGATCGGTCTCGCTTTCACAGCTTGACCCGTGGGTCTCGCATAGACTGCAGCAAGCAGTCGTTCATGGGGTATCGTACGCGTGTGTGCATGTTGCCAAACGGAACAATTGTGCTGGGGTTTTGCCCGGTCATTGTTGCCTTAGTCTAGAGCGGAAGAGTTGATGGTTGGTGTTGTTTCGTAGGGGCGGAAACTGATTCCTGTCCCTTTGCCATGGTGTTTATTGGGCGGGAAGATTCGCCCGTTGGTATCGCATGGTTGAAGGGGAAAAGGAGTTGGGAAGATTCCTGCGGGGGAAATGATTGATTGATGAAAGGGTCTCTGTTCCCAACAGGTCGGGGTACATTTCCGAAAACAGGGTACAGTTGTTGAGAAATAGTCACGGCAGGGTATACCCTGCGCCTCGTCGGACGCACCGAGGTAAACTTGGGCGCTGACCAATGATATGAGTGCATTTACTGCTGTTAATGACTGTGTACCCAGGTGTGTCGCTTTTCGACCAGGGTATACCCTGTTGTGTCGTTTTCCCTTATTTCTTTGCCCTCCTTCGACCGAGCTCTCACCTGGGACACCACAACGCCGCTGGGGGCCACGAGTCGCATCCTCTTCGGAGCACTGCTCTGCACTGTTGGGGTTGCCATCGCTTCCGGCGACGTCCGCGCTGACACCGCTTCCGCCCCCTCCTCCTCCTCCTCCTCCGAGGGACCAACACCTCTATACCCTAATCGACCTTCCATTCTCCCTCCTCCGCCTACAGTACCGCTCCCGCCGCCGCCCTCCACCGCACGCTTGCGTATTGCTGCTGTCGTGTCGTGCGCCCCCTTTCCCTCCCCTCCCCTCTCTTGGTCGCTGCTGTCTCCCATCGTAGCTCGTCGCTTGCGCCCCACGAGCTTCCCCGCGCTGCTGTCGGGAGCGGTAGCCGCCGCCGCCTCCGCCACCGCTACCGCCGCCGCCGCCGCCGCAGCAGCAGCAGCAGCACCAACTCTACTCCCCCCTTCTCTCCTACGAGAGCTCTCGCCGTGCGATCTCGCCGCACGCGAAGCGGGCCCTGGCACAACGATACCCCTCACCCCGTTCGATGCTGCCGCTGCTGCGCCCACGCTGCAGGCGCCGCTCTCCGCGCAGCTGGGGCGGGGTCGGCCGGCACCACCGCCCTTGCCGGACATCGAGTCGTCGCCGCCACTCGCCACACCCCTCGCTGGCTGAAAACAAAAGTTCGCACATTCCATTTTTTGTTGATTGGCAAACACGGAAAACGAACGATGACGCGCGACCACAGGGAAAGAAAAAACGATGAGGTGGCACCGTTATCAGCCTCGGAGACATCAGGGCTCAACGCCAAAAACCATCATCAAGACACATGAAAAAAAAAGTTCGCACGCTCCATAGTAGCGATTCCCCCTAGACCTCTCTCAAACCAAACGGCCCAAACAATGGACGCTGATAACGGGGGGTTGCTCTAGGGCAACTGCGAGTATTGCCAGTAGTGACGTTCGAAGGCGCTTCGGAGCCGGACAAGCTCGAAAGTCGCGGCGCTCGTACATACCTGGCCGTTCCCCACAAGCGCCGCTCCCGCCGTCGGAGCCAAAACCGTTCGGGCGTCTGCCGCTGGCGGTGCCGACCCTCCTTGGTTGTCGCCGGGCGGCGGCGAAGCGCGGTTCCCACCGCGATCGGCTACCTGCTCCGCCGGCCAGCAGTGAGAATACGCGAAACAGGCGGGAGGAGCATGTACCCTAAGGTATTTTAGGCGGGCGGGCGAGAGAAATCCTGGGCGCAGGAAAGACTATCACGACACACGCAATACCTCCCCTTTTCGAAAAAAAGAACGCAAAATCCAACCTTCAGAAAAACAGAAATTACTGGAGCGAAAACCACAGTTTTAATAGTGGCGGCCAGTCCTGACGCACCAAATAGAAGACCGTTGCGGTTGGCTGGAAATTAACCAAAGTGCGACAACACAACTACTGTATTCAATCTCATCGCCGCTCCCTTCTTCCTCAGCAAGACAAGAGCTTGAGATCCGCGTGTCTCTAAGCACGACCCTGGCGCGGAATCGGTCCCTACGGCCCTGACAGGCCTGGCTCACCGGACTAACGTCCTTCGCCGACGGCACGCAACCTCCGCTAGCCTCCAGAGCCCGCCGCATCATGCGGGCGGGGCCGCTGAATATTCCCCCTGCCGCCGGCGGAACTACGGAGGGTTTCCTGGGTGGGGCCTGACGGAGAAGCACAGGGCATCGTGGGCGGCAATACAAAGGGGCCCGGATGGCCGCGGCACGGACTAGACGTGAGCCGATGTAAATAATATTCCTCCCGCAAGACAAAAGCATCCGCTTGGTGGGAGAATCTGGGAGAGCTCGTGTCACATCGCGCGAGTGGCATTGAGTTACAAACACAAGCCTCATGCCTTTTACAGCCACGAGGAAACATGGCAGAACCCTTGACTTGCGGATTGGTCGCGGATTCAGTACACAACAACAATTTACTTCTCATGCTGCCCAGGGCTCGCTACTACATAGTCCTGTATGGTGAACAAAACCGATGGGAGACTACCTGGGATTTTTAGCGTGGGGGGCAACTTCATAGATGTTGTGAACCCTCTTTTAGTCTTCGACGATCAGGATTGTCTGTAGCACGCCGTGTGCCATAATGCAGCAAGCTGGTTGAAATAGTCAGCTTGAACAAGAAAGCATCCGTTCAACAACAAGCAAGGACTCTACGTGGGAGACAGAATCACACAGCATTCGGGAACTACGTATTCACAACCACATGAACCGTCCAAAACTGCAGCACATGGACAAAGTGGCAGGGCTGTCGCTGATCACACGGACGGTTGGTGCCGATGGTGCAAAAATTCGACCAAAAACATGCACGATGGGGTCTTGAAGACCCAAAGCACAATGTCAATGTTATCTACGACGGATGTATCATGACAGCAGCACACACCTTCGTGGGCAACGGCGGAGTCGGGGACCGGCTCCTCCTTGCCGGAGCAGCCTGAGTCCGGAGAGACGAAAGGGTCGGCGGTGGTGTCACCGAGGCACCCCGGGCCGCTCTCCCGTTCCCCCCTGCAGCAAGGGCCTCGTCGTCCTCGACGCGCCCGTCGGAAGAGCCGCCGCCATCCTCCCCCACCACCAGTATCCGAATCCCGTGGGCACGCGCCAACGCCCGGACCTGGGAAACCCCGGAGGCGGCGCCGTCGTCCACGAACCTCACGACGATCCCGTGCTTCTCGGCCAGGTTCCTGATCTGGCTTTGGTCGATCGCGTGAACGGTCGTGCTGTCGTGTTGGCTCGTGACGTTTTCTTCCGTGGCTCCCCACGAGCCGAGTACGCCGCTTCCGCCGCCGCGTCCTCGCCTCTGCGCCTCCATTCGCGCGTTGACCTGCGCCAGCATGCGCTGGGATCCTTCCGCGATAGCCGCGTCTGCAATGTAGGGAAAACAGAACGGACGAAGGCAGTTGAGAGTACAGAACGGACGAAGGCAGTTGAGAAGACGATCACGGCAGTGGTTGTGGAGCCGTGCGAACTAACGTTTGACAGGGTTTTTCGCTGCCTTCATTGGACGCCGGGAGGGCGCGGCATGAGGAAGCTCCACCTACCCTACATGCCGATGTGTGCTGGAAGCTCGTATCAACGACTCAAGACTACCCCCCCCCCCATTTACTCCGTCCTCTCGAGGACGCGTGGTCAATGGCCGCTAAGGCATGCAAAACA